AGGAGGATAGGGATATATATTTTGTTGGGGGTTTTATAGGATTTGGCTGCCTGGCAGCAGGGGAGCTCGACTCGTACACGTTCTGGATGTGGATACTACCTGGAGAAACCCTACGCAAAATTCTTTTGCTCTTATTAGGTGAACTTTAGCCTCCTCTGCTATTTGTCTAGGCACCTTATAAGGAGCAGGAGCATAGGTGGTGTTTAGTTTGGCTCTGGATTGTGAGAAAGCTGCAGTGGAAAATCTGAAGAAAAAATTTTATAAGAATTGTTTTTAATGCCCTTGAAGACTGTTTATATATTAATTAACTGTAAACATCAATTTATACACTGATGAATGGCATGTAAATGATCATTTTGGAAGGAAATTATCAAGTTTTAATGTTGCATGGGCTTGAAAAATATGAACAAAACGATAGTACCGAAGTTCAACATAGTCGGTACATTCCAATTTTATAGAAAATTCATCAACACTCGCATAAATTGGTACAAAGATCTCAAATTATTCATGAATATATTCATATAAATATCACAAATTCAAAAGGAAACTATAACTTTGTACAAGTCGTTCAAATTCATATAAAGACCACAAACGATCTTTGCAAAAAAAAAACACAAATTCCTTCTCATTTCCTCTTGGCTGTTGTAACCTTTCATTCACATCATGTCTCCTCTCGTGTGGCAACTCCATCGCCTCTTCCCATCATTGTGCATATGAATCAGTTCATCACAACCATCAATTGGTAGTGCATGCTAGCAATGAAGCAAAAGAAGTTTTGTCATAACTGGGAGACGACACCGTGCAGGGAGGGCCAACCGGAGGGGGTGGAACGCGGAAACCTAGCAAGGTGAGGTGATGTCCAGAGTGGCAAAGCTTCACCAGAGGGTCGACCGGATAGCGACGCTCAATTGGGACTCTGGTACCGGTTCGACTTGTTTTGGTGGCAAGGTTGGTAAATTCATCCAAAGGCCTAGATGAGTTGCTCGCTCAATTGGGACTTTGGTACCGGTTCGACTTGTTTTGGTGGCAAGGTTGGTAAAATCATCCAAAGGCTGGGGTAAGCTCGGGGAAAGAGGAATCCAAATCCACAAAAGCACCTATTTGGTAGCTTTCTCTTGTGCATGTGTTTTTTTTGATGGATTCAGGGGAAGCACGTTTGGAATATGTCTGTTTGGTTAGCTTTGGGCTTTTCAGTGGTGGAAGCCAGTGGAAAATTCCACCAAATAGGGCATAAGAGAGATGTCTGTATTTGGATGTGCTTGTTGGATTTTGTGGCGACAGATTTCTATATTTTGGTTTTCTACACAAACTATGTTATGTATTTCTCGTTTACATTTTGATGCTATGAGAGTATCTTATTCGTAAAGATGTTTGATGAAAAAACCTGTAGCGACCAGACCCAAAAACGGTCAAGTCTGTGTGCATCTATACCATCCCAAGATCATGCTGGCACACACTATATATCAATGTATATATCAAAGTGCAATCGCACATGTTTTATTACACCTAAATATAATATAGAGTCTTTATTATAAAAATAATAAATTGGCTGAAGGCCAACACATGAGATAAACTACTGCAGAAGATGTAGAAGATAGCAAGTCCATGCGACTCCAATGGCATATCACCAAGCGTATAATGTAGCCTCACTCCTCGGAATAATACTCTTCAACATGAGACGTTGTAGTCGTGTAGGTCAGCATTTTGAATATGCCGGCAAAGTCACAAGAGAGAACTGACAAAATAAAATATCCATACTATATGCAAATATGGCTGGTGGGGCTCTAAATTTATAATTTGTGTGAAAAGCTGTTTTTTTCCTACAATAAAGGAGTCAAATGAAAAAATTACTACAAAAGTTGGTTGTTAATGAGATGGTTCCACCAACCAATTCTCATATCCCAAAATTATTAATAAACCCCACTCATTATAATTAATTGTGTTAAGACTGGCTGATAGCATCTTCTCCTGTGCTTATATTGTCTATAACCGGGGACATGACTAATCGATTAGGTTGTTACTCTTCAGAGTCTTGTACACTTTACCCGCAAGATTCGATCCCTCCCGTTATGTCCTCGCACTGCCTGGTGTTTGAGAACGGGACAATCGAAACATGGTCTTCCAGAGCAATCATCCGACAGATGTCAGTGCCCATCCAATCATATCGTTCGTCTACATCTGCTAGCAACTGACCATGGAGAGTCACGACTAAGGTCAACCAAGCCATAGCCCATAATGACTTGCGGTTGCACACATATGCTTTCCGGCCTTGAAGCCATCCATCTCTTTGAGTCTGGGTGGCATTCCGTCAGGATGATCACAGGTAGATACCATGATTCCCGGGTGAAAGGATCGATATGGTTGACTAGAGGGGGTGAATAGGCAACTAACAATTTTTAACTTTTCTTGACCAAATTAAACTTAGCAAAAAAATAGGTTGTCTAGATGTGCAACTAGGTGAGCAACCTATATGATGCAACAACAACAAGCACACAAGCAAGCAAGGGATACATCACACTAAAAGTTTGCACAAGTAAAGGTAAGAGATAACCAAGAGTGGAGCTGGTGGAGACGATGATGTGTTACCAAAGTTCCTTCCCTTTAAGAGGAAGTACGTCTCCGTTGGAATGGTGTGGAGGCACAATGCTCCTCAAGAAGCCACTAGGGCCACCATATTCTCCTCACGCCCTCACACAATGCAAGAAGCCATGAATCCACTATTGGTGCCCTTGAAGGCGGCAACCGAACCTTTACAAACAAGGTTGGGGCTCTCTCCACAACCGAATTGGAGGCTCCCAACGAAACCACGGAGCTTCACCACATTAGAATATGGCTCTGAGGTGACCTCAACCATCTAGGGTGCTCAAACACCCAAGAGTAACAAGATCTGCAAGGGATTAGTGGAGGGAACCAAATTTCTCTTGGTGGAAGTGTAGATCGGAGCCTTCTCAACCAATCCCTAGAAAATCAACAAGTTTGATTGGCTAGGAAGAGAGATCGGGCAAGAATGAGCTTTTGAAAGGCAATGGAGCTTGGGGGGAAAAGGTCAACCCTAAGAAGAAGAAGACCCCCCCTTATATAGGGGAACAAAATCCAACCGTTTTTCTGCCCTGTGCCCACAACTAAGCGGTACTACCGCTTAGGCGGTACTACCCCACACAAGCCTAAAATACACAGAGTGTACCTACGCTAGTGCCACCGGAGCGGTACTACCGCTGACCCTGGTGGTACTACCGCATAGGGTTTCTAGACCTGGAGAGGCAACGGTAGTAGAGGGTGTCAGGGGCGACAGTACCGTGCAAAGCGGTACTACCGTCCTAGTGCCGCTCTACTACCGCTTAGCGCAAAGTGGGAACAGAACCTTGCACAGAGGAAAACACCGCAAGCGGTAGTGGCGACGGTAGTATGGGCTGTAGTACTGCCGGAGCGGTACTACCGTGCTACTACCGCCCTACTACTGTCAAAAGGAGACTGGCAAGCGAATGTTGCATGCTCGGGGAAACCCTAAGCGGTAGTTGAGGGAGTCCTGGATTAGGGGGTGTTCGGATAGCCGGACTATACCTTCAGCCGGACTCCTGGACTATGAAGATACAAGATTGAAGACTTCATCCCGTGTCCGGATGGGACTTTCCTTGGCATGGAAGGCAAGCTTGGTGATGCGATATTCAAGATCTCCTACCATTGTAACCGACTCTGTGTAACCCTAACCCTATCCGGTGTCTATATAAACCGGAGGGTTGTAGTCCGTAGGACAGAATAAACTCCATACACAACAATCATACCGTAGGCTAGCTTTTAGAGTTTAGCCTCCTTGATCTCGTGGTAGATCTACTTTTGTACTACCCATATCATCAATATTAATCAAGCAGGAGTAGGGTTTTACCTCCATCGAGAGGGCCCGAACCTGGGTAAAACAAAGTGTCCCTTGTCTCCTGTTACCATCCGGCCTAGACGCACAGTTCGGGACCCCCTACCCGAGATCCGCCGGTTTTGACACCGACATTGGTGCTTTCATTGAGAGTTCCTCTATGTCGTCACTTTTAGGCCCGATGGCTCCTTCGATCATCAACAACGATATAGTCCAGGGTGAGACTTTTCTCCCCGAACAGATCT